GATTGTGTATGTTATCTTTTGGTCACCTTCATTATGCTTTAAAACAACATTTTTTGTTACTTCATTTTTTGACAACGATATTAGAGGTTGAAAAGAGAAACCTTCTTCAAAAAGAATTCAAGCTCTCTTAAGAAAAGAAACAAGACAAAATCATTTAGCAGGAGGTAGTTTCGATCTACCGACCTCTGGGTTATGGGCCCAGCACGCTTCCGCTGCGCCACCCTGCTTACAATACAATGCATCTGTGTACAAATTGTAGTTAATTGTTTGCATCGGACCAAAATCTCGTCTCAGGCTGTCAGAAAATGCATCGCAAGTCGCAAGTAACCCATTTCCTAAACCAACGATCATTTGCAAAATATTTTTCAGCTAGAAATTTTGAAATAATTCAAGTTATTTTATAAAACGAATCAACTTGCGAAAAGCTTAAAGTTTTCTAAGGAAGCCATTAGAGGCATTAGAGCTATACAACTTTGAAATTTTTCAAGTTAATTCATAGAGCGAATCAGTTCGCGAAAAGCTTTAAATTTTTCAAAGCTAGCTGTTCAAGCCGCGTCCAGACAATTCGGCCAAAGACAATTAAGCCGATTTGAAATTCAGACAATTCAGCCAAAATTATGCAGACAATAGCCAAAGACAATTCAGCCAATAATAGTGACCGCCGCAGTCCAAAATTTTGCCTTTTCAGATTTACTTCAATCTGAAACGAACCAACTAAAAACAGCGAACTCCTTGCGCGAAACTTTGCCCACAGCTAGATTTTCTAGCAAGGAGGTTGCTGTTTTTAGTTGGTTCACTTCTGATTGAAGTAAATCTGAAAGGGCAAAACTTTGGAAACAATGGACAAGCACTGTCTAGCCTTGAAAATGAATTGAGTTCTTCTTGTCTAAAGAAATGAATATTCATTCTATAATATTCCAGACAATTTGAAAGTTCTAGAACATGCCCGACCTTCTCTTAAATATTGAGCCTTAACAATTTTCTTAAACATTGCACTCCCAAAATTAACGCATTGAATTCAGTTAAACATTGCGTCCATAGCTCATACTGACTTTCATTTAATATATAAGATACAAAACTATTCATTTCAAAAATCTTGCAATTAATGTTCAGTCAGAAACTTTTCAGATTGAAGATTGGGGTCTTATGCACTAAACGGCCCAAAATTATTGTTTCTTCATCTGTTGAACTGAAATTTTCTACATCTGTTGAACTGAAATTAATGTGGTTGAATTTGTTTGGCTAATTAGCCAATCAAGTTCCATCAACATTTTCTGCCATTTTAATTGAACTAATTCTGCCATTTCAAGCAAATAAAATTTTTAGCCGAAATGAAAAAAAAAATTGAATTTTTGTTTTGTTAAGCCAGTTTAATAAATTTTTCTTGTCTGGGCAAGGTTTCACAAGTATATCGAAATTAATTTGATTACTTAACAAAGTTCCACCGATTTGGGAAAGTTCGGCTATTATTTTTATCTGCTGGAAGGGTTGACTGGAATGCCTGACCATGTAACTTGAAATTGATTGACTAAAATTACCCAATCAAATTCATCGCATAATTTCCAGCTTACTATGTAAAAAGTTTCATTTTGGACCGTTTAGAGCATAAGACCCGAAAATTGCTATTAATTCATTGTTTATAAAGAAATTTGCTCACTTCTGTTTATTTTACAGTTTAACAAACATAATTGGGTTACCTTATTTGTCATTAAAACTCAATTTTGTCTGTTTTTTTTGAATTTTCCTCCTTTAAAATGGTGAGTGAATTGAATTGAACCCAAAATCTCAAATATGGCAGGGCAGTTTTCGAGAATATTCAAAAAGTTAAAAAACTAACAAAAAAGTTTGACTATTCCGACGGCCATAAACACTATTCATTGAAACCAAAAACTCAGATTTGAAAGGGATATTTTTCGAGAAAACAAAGACCAAAAATATGGGTCAAATAATCCCCCACAGAAATTTTCGAACGCTGTAGACAGATGGGTCAAATAATAAGAAACTCTAGTGGAGTATACAGGCACATAGGGGAGTAGGCGGTCTTTCGATTAAAAACCCCTTTGAAACTAAATTTCTTTAATAAAAAAGGAATGTGCAATTTCTTTAAGCAGAGGGAATGTGCAAGTTAGGTTTCCCTTGAAATGACCCAAAATTAGGTCATTTAGCCGATAAAAAATAGAAATACGCAGGAGATCGAAATACTTAGATCGAAATAGGAGATCGGAATGAACTTTTTTAAGCGAAACAAAAAAACAGGAAATACGAAGTCAAGTAAAGTCAAATTACAAGTTGTTGGTGTAAATCAAGCACTAAAAGCATCATTAAAGAAAAATGCGCGCAAAAAATTTCATGATGTGCTAACTAAGCCGAAAACCCATAAGCAGACAAATAATTGGCCGAAAATTTAAAGAAACAATATTTCCCAGTTGAAAAAAAACAGGTCCAGGTCAGATTCAAACCTAGAAATTTTGCCGTCCCAGGCATATTTTCTTTAGCTTCATGCTAAGTTGGCCGGGAACGCATATAAGTTTGAATTCAATATGAACCAAAATACAAGTAATTCTGTTAAACAAGTTGTTATCCCGAAAAAAAGTAACGAACGAATGATCTTTTTATTCGAAAACAAATTTGATATTAGCAGAAAATGTTTTTCTATCAAGCAAATAAACTTTCGTAACAATTGTTTTTCAAAAATTTTGCCATTACTAAGAATGGATCTGTGATTTGATTCAATTCACCATATTAAAATAGAACAATAGAGTTTTTGCCACCTTTAGAGACATTGGATACATTTGTGTTAAATCTATTGAATAAAAATGAACAAATGGACTTGAGCAAACAGCAGGTTTCACTTGTTTTGAAAAGAAACGGGGAAACATTTCCGGATCGAAAGTTTTTGTTTTTCACACGTTCAAAACCTCATATATTTTTCGCTCACTTATTTCGTATAAGACCTACATCTACAAAAAATATATATTACAGGTTTCTGCGTCAGTTGGCTGCTTTGGTTTTGCCTTTTTGTAACACCTCATTGAAGCCAGCGAAGAAAAAATATTGGTTTAAAATTAATTGATTTCTTTTCAAAATACTTCCTGGTTGTCTGTCTAACAAATGGTTTCACATAATTTCTTTGATACAAAAACTGAGATGTTGCAGCCCCTCAGTTTAACGATACAAGCGGTTTCAAAAGCTTACATTTCAAAGCGTAAATATTAATGTTGACTTCGTTAACACTCATTTGACCTTTTTGTTCCGACATTTGAAAATATTGAGGAACTTTGTATTCGGGTATCAGGTGTATTTAAGTTCTTTTTGTTTTCCACGCAAAATCAAGGACCACAAATAATCATCGGACTGGGTTTAGTGATATATCATATTAACACCTTTTCAATCGTGATTTGAACGAAATGAAGAATTTCCAAAAAAAATCCCAGAGTCGAGAAAAACCGGTTTGAAATTTTCGGTTTTTGTCTCGACCAAATAAAGAGATGATAAGTTGTTAAATTTGTCATTTAGGCTAATTTTTTTTGAATTTTTTTTTCTTTTTTTATGTTTTTTTTGCTGACAACTGTTGTCGATTATGCCTCATCGAAGTCCCTTTGTCATTTAGGCTAATTTTTTTTGAAATTTTTTTTCTTTTTTGTATGTTTTTTTTTGCTGACAACTGTTGTCGATTATGCCTCATCTACTAACTTTTTATGTGTTATGTTTTCTCATCACACCACTAATGACACTAACTTAGTACTAAAATCGACACTAATTTGAAGAACTTAAAAATTTAAAGATTTTTAAGTGTAGTTTTTTATGAATATGCTCCGCATAGTCAGTGTTACTTGCACAGCAATTGGCTATCCGTGTTCAGAGACCCAAAGAAAAGGTCAAATACATTACATTGTTTTTGAAAATCATTGTTATTATCTATGCTGGACCTGTCCATTACCTTAGCTTTTTCGAAAAAAGTTTTTGAGGGGACAAGCGGTTCTTCAATTGTTTTTACTATTGTCGATTTTCTTGAGGTAGATTATGTCTTTAGTCATGTTTTATAATTTAAACCATAAATAAAATTAAACTCGAAAAAAGGAAAAACCTCGAAGACAACAGGGTTTTATATCCGACTTCCTGCCGAAAAGAAGCAATCCCTAACCACTTAGTGAAGGCGTCTTGCAGTCAACTAACTTCTAGTATAATTTATTCTAAATAAAGCGGATATAAGCTGTTTAAGCAGCGCATACACTTTCGAACAAAATTTAACGACTTGAGTTTAAAAAAGTAGACTACTCTTATACCAATTATGATTGGCACTTTCTTCGGAAAGTTATCCCATTTGGAAAAAACTGGATCCATAGGTAACTCTTTTATTCCGCTACAACTTCAGAACATTCAGTTCATTTTTGAAAATAGAAGGCATTCCTATTTTTCGTAATCTTTGAACTTTTGCTGTTTGGTGGAGGAGTTTGCATTCGTTTTAACAATGGAAGTTACCTGGACTTGAGAAATCAAAAGTCAAGCAGCGATTAACCAAAATTAAGCGAGGACAAACTTAATTTTTTTTCTAAAAAAAATCATCATACCTTTACGGGCGAAAGGTTGAATTCAACTAAAACTAACCGAGCATGAAGAAAGCCTCGACGAGATATGTATCAGTTGATAGAGAATTAACTCTGTCTAATACAAGCGAAGTTGCACTTCGCATAGGCTAACGAAAACAAAACAAAAACTGAATAAACAATCAATCGCAAAAGCCGCATGGCAAAATTTCGGGATCTATGTTAGTTTTTTGACAATCGACAACGTTTTTCGTTAAGCTAACCCAAATAGAAACAACTGGCTTTAAAGGTAATTTTTTTTATTAAGTTGGAAAATTGGCAAATTTTATCAATTTTCAATTGCATAATTTTGAAAAATTAATCAGTTTTGTATATCTTACTTTGCTGACATTTACCTAAAATCTATGAAAATCAGAGAAAAAAAACATTCAAAATATTTCGCATTGAACTAACCCCTTGTTACTGCATCAAGTGCAACCCCTGCCCCAGACGCCCCACCACCCACAATCAACACATCGAAGTCCCTTGTCTTCAGGTTACCGATCATCTCAGCACGCGATGGTAACTCTTTCTTTATTTCGGGCAGATTGTAGTTATGCTTAGATGCACTTTCGGCTAGGAGAGTGGGTTTTCCTAAGTAATACAAGGTCACACCTCCAGCCACAGTTCCAGAGATTAAAACTGCGACTACTTTTCTTGTGGAAGCATTTCTGAAGGCGGTCGCACTCAGCGATCTGCTATGGGCTACTCTGCTCGGACTCGAGTGACGAATAGCCGACGATTGACCGAGACGAAGAGTTCGGAATATCGAAGAATTCATTGCGCTGTTGGTTAAATATACGAAGCTAGAATCGACTCGTCGCAATGCTTTTGAAAATAATATAAATGGTCATGAAAATAATATAAACAAAATTTTTTCAATGAACTTTTTCTTCGCCTATCTTTGGCTATTAATAAAATTATGTTGAACGCAGAACGTTTTATAATACACGCTCCAGATTGTACATAACTTGTAAGTAAATTTTGTGTGCGCGTTTGAACATTGAACGCTGTGAGCTATTTGCAAATTTAGCTTGATGACGATGACTATGATAATCTGACCATGCGGTAGCTGAACAAATTAACCTGAAAATGGATATCCCCTTTGTAGTAACATTCAGAGAGGACAGTTTCTTATCTGGTGACTTGATAATGATCGCCATTGCACATAATCAAACCTTAAGGAACATTATTTACAATTTCAATACAGGCCTAATGTTGAAATTGTGTCGATTTCAAAAGATGAAAACAGGAATATAATTGCAAATTTAAAATCATTGATGGCGCAAAAATCAGAAATTAAGAACTCGAATGATCGTTGCCAATAATTAGCTTCAAGCTTTTCCTAGACTTTATTCCAATTCTCCGAAGAAACATTGAAATTTTGAGAAAAAAAAACTATTCTTTTTACGGTCACAGCTTAAATTTTTCAAACGACAAGCTGGTTTTCCTCTTCTCTGTATAGAAACTTATATACTGATTAAGAATAAACTCTACTCTATTTAGTAAATATTGCCAATCATCAATTTTACAAATCAGTAGGCATCCAAGTCTCTGTACACCTTCCTTAACTTCTCCTTCTTGTTTCTGTTGTGATGCTTCTTCGACAGTTTTCCATTGTCCTCTAATTGGGATCCAGCCCTTCCCTTCATATGCGCATTTCCTCCAGCTGAAGCGAAAAATTGCGAGTCGATTCGTGCCTCGAGAGCCTCGTTAGTTCGCTTTACGGACAGAGGCGCGGGAAGGATTTCAGCCTCCACAGAGCAATAGGATGACTGATGTACCGTGTGTGTCTCTGAGGCCTTTTGAGGTTCATTTTCAGACGGTGGTTTGTGACAGAAGACTATTTTGCCGTTCACGAAATCCTACAATGAAACAAAAATCTATCGACACTAATAGAACTAATCGAACGTGAATTAGAACTCTCAAATTATTGTTGGCAACTTTTCATAGGAAAGATTTATTCGGCGATTTTTTAAAGTGACCCTATAAACATGAGCTGATATCTCAGTGGCACAGAACAGATGAACAAACCTTCAAAACATGCTTTGCACTTGTTGAAAGATCCGGATTGCCTCTTGATGTTCCATAGCCTCTGGTGACAGCAAAATGTGACAGAAAACCCTCCGAATTCAGTTTTGTGAGCCGGTCAGATGGAAAACCGTAGCTTCTGCACAACTTCTCCCATCCAACTTGTTGGCCAATTAACTCGATTGGAGAAACCAGTTCATTTGCTTGATCAATTGGTAGAATCCCGTTTGTCAGCAAATCCGATTTCGACTTCACAAAATTTGGCATGACCAGGCCGGGACAATCACATAGACAGAGATTTGAGTCAATAAACAGAGTTTGAAAGTGTTTAGTTTTTCCAGGAGTTGCCGACGTCGATGTCTTGCTGGCTCCAACTAAATGATTAATCGTGCTACTCTTTCCGACGTTCGGATACCCAATAAAACCGCATGTTCTATAAGTCTCGTTTAACTGACACTCCAAATCAATAGACTTGATGAATTGAATTAGTTCATTTCCTGATATGATAGAGCTCTGACTGTTATCAATACTTGAACCCTGGTCGGTGTTCAAGGCACAGAAGAATTTGAACTTGATATTTCTTTCGTTGAAGTAACTAGCCCACATTTTACGCAGATCTTCTGTCAAGAAGTCGGCTTTGTTAATTAGAAGGAAGAACTTTTTGGGGTTTTCGAACTCAGAGCAATAAGCGTAGAGATCTTCGGTGAAAAACAAAAGTGGGTTCCTGGCGTCTACAATTTGCGCAACTATATCACTTCTTTCTACCACACGCCACAATTGTCGCCAGAAATCCAAGTTCCTCTCAAATGGTGTAGTTGCACAATGTTTCAACATCTGAACTGTCTGTGATATTTTGTACTTCCACTCTGCAAATGATTGACTCTCCATAAGAGTCAGCTGGTCTGGCTTGGTCTCAGGAGTCCATTTTGGACGTCTAGGAATCACTAGAAACTTCCGTTTGTCCTCTGACTCTTTGTGAGCCAGTTCACGTTCCATCTTGGATATAGGACCCTCCTATAATAAATAGCTCTAGTTTAATGCTGAATTGTGATTCAATTCTTCACGATAAAGATAACATTCTACAATTATCCAGAAGGTTTGGTTTAAGCATAGAAGGTTTGGTTTAATTTTTGCTAAATTTGAAAAAGATTTTTTTTCAAATTATTTAGTCGTTTTTCTCATGAGCATGAAGGGGGAGAGATTGTAAACTAGCTTAGAATAATTTACCAATGGCTTTCTTAAACAAATAACTATTAAAATTCAGCAACTTTACCTTAAAATGTATCAACATGAAGAGTATTCTTCAGTCTAAATTCGTGTTAAACTTCAGACCGGACCGATTTTTTTGGCACCATAATATTTCGTGTTCAGAACAATAACTAAGATAACCTCATTTTCTATTACTGAGTTGAATCGAGAAAAAAACAATAGAAGAAAAAGTAATTATATGCCCCAAAAAGCCAAAGAATAGCCATTCGAACATGGGGCCTAGGAAATTAGACAAAAAGCAAGTTAGACTTGACAAAAAAATCTAATTTAGACGTCGATGCAAAACTACAAATATGGGAAAATAGACGTAATTGTATTGTTAACGGTTGTGATATTTGTTAACTGGCTACAATTAACTTAGTTCTAGCTTTCTTGAACGCGAATTAGTTTTTCACATGTCGCAATTGTACAATTTATGCATTTCGAAAACGTTTTCAAAAATGAAATTTGCATTAACAATTGATGAATCATCTACAAAAAAAATATTTTGATATGCAAGTGGATGATAAACTCTTTTTGTATTTGTGAAAATTTGTTTCAAGCAAAAAGTTTTGTTGGCCCTTTCATTTTGGTTCAAAAAGCGCGTTTTACAAAAAAATGAACATCTAAATTCCGTTTCCTTGGAGCCGTCTAATTTGCCTGTCGTCCAATTTCCTAACCCCGGTGTCCTACCCGTACATTTTAACAACTAGTCATTTTACCACAAAACAATTTAAATCCACAACAAATGAACCCCTTTTTTCCAGTTTAACACCGTGTTTTTTAACATCTAGTCATTTCACTACTAAAATTATTACTGTATGAATTCCTCATCTTAACTCTTATTACATCAAAGTTATTACTGCAATTAACGCACAAACCATAATGAAAACCTTGTTTATATTAGTCATACATGCCAAAAATGAGGCTTCCTAAATTACTTAAGACCCTTGTCGACAAAATCATAACTTGTTTTCAATTAGACGTTTCGCTAAATCATTATGCTCACTAAAAAAACCTGCTTGTGCTAATTCATAACAATTTGACGTAAAATTTCTGACAAAAAAATTCGGACAGTCAATTTATACTTTACTCAATTGATAAACAAACGCAAACACAATAACCACATTATGATCGAGTCTTCTTTCGAATTCACAGTTTCATCTAAGAAACAAGCCAATTATTATAGGGTCCCGGCCACGAATATCATTTCAAGCGAAAAAGATGTTTACCGAAAACTGGATTTGCTCAAATTATCAAACACATAAATGTCGAGCAACTGCCTTTACAGAAAATAGTGAAATGACCGAGACGCGCGGAGAGCATAACCCTGACTTTTTAGTGGGAAAATCGGATGCCCGAAATGTCATGCAGCATTTAAAAGATCTCAGCGAGAGATTTACCCCGTCTGTCGCAGTTGCCAGTGAGGTTTTGCCAGTTAAAAACAATTTGGCCACTCAGTTTGCCCTACCAAGTAAAGGCAAGCTAATCCGAACGGCTGCGCGCACACGTAAGCAGCTAGATGTAAATATGCCGCCCATCCTTGCGCGAAATTGCGAGATCCCTGAAACTTTTGAAATATTTATCCTGTATGAGAGTGGATTAAATGATCAGTAGTGAATCATTTTGCCCGGCGACACCGAAATGCTGAGATTTCTGGATAAGTCAACTTTCTGATTAGCCGACAGAACTTTTAAAATTACACAAAAAATGTTCTATCAGCTATATTAAATTCATGTTAGTGTAACTGGCGTTGCGCCAGCTTGAATTTACGCCTTCCTTCCTAAAAAAAAACGAAAAAACCTATTTTCGCTTTTTGCAGGCGTTAATTGATTTAGCACCTAACTGCCAGTCTAAACAGCTTGCTCAAAATCTGCCTTTATGTGCCAGCAGTTCAAAAAAAACTGACAAAGCGATCAGGTTATAAGCTTAAGTTCGAGAATGATTCCGAAAAATAATGAATTTTAGGCTTTTGCCATTGATTAAACTTTTTTAAAATTTTTACACTGGCTGAAAACGTCTGGAAAATTAGATCATATTAGTCAAAGGCTGTCTAATTATTTGCGGGCTTTTGAAGTTCATTGACCTATTGCTTGTTTTTGGTTCATTTTGGAATGATTCATTGAAAATATTGGCAAGGTCAATTCTATTCAAAACTCACGCGAATTAAGAAGCGCAAAATTGTCTGGCTTTAAATGGGAAAATTTCTCTCGTTTAACTCTTCGATGTTTATCGAAATCCCCTTTGAAGTAAGTTTTCTTTTCATTTTGGATTCAAACGGTTTAAAGTTATAGAAATGGTTTTACAATATAGCGATATAAAATGCTACGGAAACAATATTTAGGGAGTGAAATTGTATGGTGTTAAGTTGTTTAGCTCGGAACAATAACTAAGATAAATTCATTTTGAATTACTGAGCTGAATCGAGAAAAAAGGACATACCTGAACGGGGGAAGATTGTTAAGTAGATCACAATGGTCGATTTTTCGACCGATCAGAATGCAGCAAATTTCCAATTTTCAAAAAAAGCTATAACGCTAATTCGCTGTATCTGTTTATAGGGGTGGAAATTCTTTAGTAGATAGCATAGGAGGGGGGCGGGGGGGGGGGGGGGTGGGAGATTGTTAAGTAGATCTAAAAAAAAACAATTGTATACAAGTCATTATATGCCCCAAAAAGCCAAAGACTAGCCACTCGAACAAATCCATAAACGGAGTTAGAAATATATCGGCGAAACAGGAACAACTCATGCTCTTTTAATACACATAAGAAATAAGCCGCGAACTAGCTGTTTACCATATCTGGATATCTGATTACTAAAGTTGCTTCTCCGTCTCCAGTTATATTCGTTCTAGAACATTCACCATCCACATCTGACGTCACTTCCTCCTCCTCATCTCCAGAAGAAACGTCTTGGTAATCTTCACTACAATCACTACCTTCTTCAATTGCCACGCTTTCTTTCGGTTTTGTTACGTAATCCGGATTTGAGGTCATCATGCTTACGTAATCTAACTTATCGATCACTTCGTTCAGATTGTTCTGATCTGTTATCGAAGAGTGGCCTAATACTTTGGCTGCGGACATTTTTGCCTTCTGTGAGCGAGAGGGTTTTGGAGGCTTCTTTGAGTTGGTCAGTGAACAACCGAGGTTGTTCTTGTCTTTAGTTTTGCCCATATTTTCTTAAAAACAAGTAACAATCATTTGCGCAATGTATCACACAGCGGCGATAAAATCCTTCAAGTTTTTGCGAATAGCTAACGAGAATATCTGATAAGCAGTACAACACAAATCGAAAGCCTTTTTTAAAACTCTGCAGCTCGATCGAAAGTGTTAGATACTTACTTCATAAACCTAGAAACTAACATTGCTGGTTGCATCTACTGTGCTGATTGTTAATACCTTGTATTTGATTTTGCCAGTGCTCTCTAAAATATACTGCTTGGTGAAACTCGAAAAAACTTCAAGAAACCGAGAACAGTTAAATTTAAGAAAAAATTGAGAACAACCTAATACAAAGGCGAAGCGGAACTTACTTCGCACCACTTGCGATATAACACAAACATAAATGATAGGTCGCAAAAAAACTTAAATCTTAAAAAATAATTAAGGCGAACCATAGTTTTCGTAAGTATCGATAAGAAACAACAAAGGACCCAGCTAAAGCTGGAGGTACAGATTTGAAATTGAATAAATTTGCTATACTGATGGGGCACGAAAAAAGTGATTTAAAAAATGGACTTTGCCCACAACCTTAGTTGTTTCTCTACTAAAATAAGTGAGAACAGTAAAAAAAAAAATTGGGGAGCCGCTGCTTCTACAGGAACAAAAATAACAGCCGGAATTGAACTTTTTATCTTAGATTTGATTTTTTAAATTACAAGAAACATCAAAAAATTTCTTGAAAACGGTCTAAAAACTCTTAAAAAAGATCACAGGACTTTCCAAAATCCAAAAATTTTAACTGCAAAAAGTAGGTAGCGGCCACTTAAGCAGAGAAGATTCCCAAAACCAGGTTTCATGATTGAACACAACCTGAGATTTGGCACGGTAGTTTTGGCGTAAAGTCAAACAGTTTCCAAACAACTGCCAAGAAATCAAAACAATGACTTTTATGGGGCCATAACTTTTTCTTAGACAAACTGCGACCAGTCGAATACAAAGATCAGCTTTCAACAACCTGCAGTTTAGATTAAACTTATGATATCCGATTTGGCAGAATAGTTAGCGAGAAAAGTCTAAAGAACGGTCAAAAATCAAAACTTCCAGAAATCATAGCTTTTCGTGTGAAAAATAGGGCGTAGCTGCTTATGCTTACGGGATTCAAAAAACTTGTATTTTAAATTGAACCCAAAATCTTAAAAAATTTTGAAGTTCAAAAAATCAAAACTTTGACTTTTCCGAGGGCCATAACTTTGTGTCAAAAACTTTTTGGGCGTAGACGCATCAGCAAATGAGCTGACCAAAACCTGTTCTTTGGATTGAACCTAAAATCTCAGATATGGAAAAGTAGTTTTCAAGATTTTTCAAATAGTTGAAAAAAACTTTGTAAGTGGCCCCTAATTTAGGGGAGCTTCCCACTACCCGCGATCTCCACTGAAGCCAAAATATCAGATTTGCGAGGTTAGTGTTCGAGGAAAGTCGAAAAGATTAACAAAACGGTCAAAAATCAAAAACTTGACTATTGTGAGAGCCATAACTTATTATGTAATCAGAAATATGGGTCAAATATTCCTCCATAGACTTTTTCGAAGGCTGTAGACAGAGGTGTCATGTAAAAGAAGACTCAAGAGGAAAATACAGGCACACAGGGGAAAAGGCTGCCTTTCAACGGATACCCAGTTTTCGAAATACAAGATAAAATCTGGAAAAAAAGTTTCATGACAAAAAGATAAATTTCAATAAACCGATTGGTAAACATAAACCGACTTCAAAAATGAGGAGGGCAGTGTTTAAATTGTTTTTCCCTTCAAACGACCCAAAATTAGGTCATCAAGTTGATGAAATGTATGCAAAAAGCATGTTGCGGCCACGATAAAAAGTCTGCAAAAAGTATGTTGCGGCCACTTCGCAGAGAAGATTCCCAAAACTGGATTTCACGATTGAATAAAACCTAAGAATTGGCACGGCAGTTTTAGCGTACCGTCAAAACGTTTCCAAACAACTCTCAAAAAGTCAAAACTTTGATTTGGTTGAAGGCCATAATTTTTTCTTGTATTAACTGCGACCACCAGATTACAAAGATAGGTTTCAACAACATGTAATTTTGATTAAACTTATGATATCAGATTTGGCAGAATAGTTAGCCAGAAAAGTCGATAAACGGTCAAAAAATCATAGGGTTTGGGGTCAAAAATTAGGGCGTAGCTGCTCATGCCGAAGGGATTCACGCAACTTGTATTTTAGATTGAACCCAAAATCTTATTTGGGAGAGTAGTTCTTCAAAAAAGTCAAAAACTTTCAAAGAAGGTCAAAAAATCAAAACTTAGACTTAATCGAGGGCCGAAACTTTTGTCAAAAATTTTTTTTGCGCGTTAATCGCAAAAGCAAATGAGCTTCCCAAAATCCGATCTTTAAATTGAACACAAATTTCAGATATGGCAGGGTAGTTTTCAAGATTATTCTCAGAGCTTTCAAAAAAACGTTGTGAGTGGCTCCTAATGTAGGTGAGCTTCTCACTACCCGCGATCTCCACTGAAGCCAAAACATGAGATTTGAGAGGTTAGATTTCGAGAAAAGTCGAAAAGCTCCATAAAACGGTCAAAAAACAAAAATTGACCATTCTGAGGGCCATAACATATGTAATCAAAAACATGGGTCAAAAATTCCGCCATTGACTTTTTCGAAGGCTGTAGTCAGAGGTGTCAAGTAAAAGGAGACTCTAGAGGTAAAAAGAGGCACACAGGGGAGTAGGCTGCCTTGCAACAGATACCCATTTTTTGAAAGCCAAGAGTAAATTTGGAGGAAAACTTGCACAAAAAAACAATAAATCGATTGGTAAACAGAAAACATTAAGAAAAAATGAGGAGGGCAGTGTTTTAATTGTTTTTCCCTTCAAACGATCCAAAATTAGGTCATCAAGTTGTTAAGTGTATGCAAAAAGCATGTTGCTGCCACGATAAAAAGTCTGTAAAAATATTGTGCGGCCACTACGCGTAGAAGATTCCCAAAAACGAGTTTTACGATTGAATACATGAGAATTGGCACGACTGTTTTAGCGTATAGTCAACAAGAGCCCGAAAGAGTCAGATATTAGATTTGGCGGAACAGTTAGCGAGAAAAGTCTACAAAACGGTCAAAAAATCAAAACTACCATAAATCATCGCTTTGTGCAAAAAAGTCTGGCGTAGGAATTCGCGCAACTTGAAATTTCGACTGAATTCAGAACCTCATTTGGGAGAGTAGTCACCGAAAAAAGACAAAAATTCGAAGAAAGTCTAAAAAATCAAAACTTTGACTTTTCCGAGGGCCATAACTTGACGTCAAAAAAAAAAATTGGGCGCGGTCGCATAATTAAATCAGCTTCCCAAAACCCGTTCTTTGAATTGAACCAAAAATCTCAGATATGGAAAGATAGTTTTCAAGATTATTTGAAGAGATAAAAAAAAATTTTGCAAGTGGCCCCTAATTTAGGGGAGTTTCCCACTACCCGCAATCTCCATTGAAGCCAAAAAATCAGATTTGAGAGGTTAGTTTTCGAGAAAAGTCGGTATTCAAAAAACGGTCAAAAATCAAAAAATTGACTATTCTGAGGGCCATAACTTCATTTGTTATCAAAAATGAGGGTCAAAAAATTCCGCCATTGAATTTTTCGAAGGCTGTAGACAGAGGTGTCAAGTTAAAGGATACTCTAGAGTGAAAAAGAGGCACACAGGGGAGTAGGCTGCCTTTCAACGGATACCCATTTTTTGAAAGCCAAAAGTAAATTTGGCAAAAAATGTGCACAAAACAAATCAATAAACCGATTGGTAAACATAAACCAAATTGGAAAATGAGGAGGGCAGTGTTTGAATTGCTTTGCCCATCAAACCTTTCAACAATCTGAGATAAACTGCGACCAGCCAATTACAAAGATAGGCTTTCAACAACCTGTAGTTTTGATTCAACTTATGATATTAGATTTGGCAGAATAGTTAGCGAGAAAAGTCTAAAAAACGGTCAAAAAAACAGAACCTCCAAAAATCATAACTTCTTGTGTTAAAAAATCGGGAGCAGCTTCTTATGCTGAAGGAATTCACGTAACTTAAAATTGCGATTGAACCCAAAACCTCATTTGGGAGAGTAGTCACCGAAAAAAGACAAAAAAGTTCAAAGAAGGTCAAAAATCAAAACTTTTCCGAGGGCCATAAATTTGTGTCGAAAACTTTCTGGGCGTAGACGAAAAAGCAAATGAGCTGACCAAAACCTGTTCTTTGGATTGAACCTAAAATCTCAGAATGGAAAGGTAGTTTTCAAGATTATTCTCAAAGAGCTTTCAAATAAACGTTGTGAGTGGCTCCTAATGTAGGTGAGCTTCTCACTACCCGCGATCTCCACTGAAGCCAAAATACGAGATTTGAGAGGTTAGACTTCGAGAAAAATCGAAAAGATCCATAAAACGGTCAAAAAAAAACAAAAATTGACCATTCTGAGGGCCATAACTTGATATGTAATCAAAAATATGGGTCAAACATTCCGCCATTGACTTTTTCGAAGGCTGTAGACAGAGGTGTCAAGTAAAAGGAGACTCTAGAGGTAAGAAGAGGCACACAGGGGAGTAGGCTGCCTTGCAACGGATACCCATTTTTTGAAAGCCAACAGTAAATTTGGAGAAAAATTTGAACAAAAAAAAACAATAAATCGATTGGTAAACACAAACCAATAAGAAAAAATGAGGAGGGCAGTGTTTAAATTGTTTTCCCATCAAATGACCCAAAATTAGGTCATCAAGTTGTTAAAAGTATGCAAAAGCATGTTGCTGCCACGATAAAAAGTCTGCAAAAAATATTGTGCGGCCACTACGCGGAGAAGATTCCCAAAAATGAGTTTCACGATTGAATACATGAGGATTGGCACGACTGTTTTAGCGTATAGTCAACAAGAGTCCGAAAGAGTCAGAAATTAGATTTGGCAGAACAGTTAGCGAGAAAAGTCTACAAAACGGTTAAAAAATCAGAACTACCATAAATCATCGCTTTGTGCAAAAAAGT